CAAGTATACACACACACACACACACACACACACACACACACACACACACACACACACACACACTGGATTTTATGGATTTGTATGGGACATTGACCCATATCAGATTGGATTCCCTGCCTAAACCACTGGGTAAATAAGAATGGAGACGTTGTAGAAACAGAAGAACTTAAGCACCTGGGACAATGACAAGGCCATCTTCAGGCAGTGTGGAGCATGTATAAGTTAGTGAGTCAGTATCTGAGAATGTCCTGTGAAAGGTGTCATCTCCCTGGGCAGCCATGAGGAGAGGAGGCGCTCTGCGAGCAGGGTTGTTCCTGACAACAGCTTTTAAATTCTCAGGAAAACACCTGCTCATTTCTCTCAGCAGGCCTCACCCCATCTCATGAGTTATCACTCTGTCTTTACCCTTCAGCGTCGAAGCCCAGTTATAGTTTATATTTCTCTATTGGAGAATCTCCTTGGTGTTGCCCTCTGCAGCTGAGATGCCAGAATAAGTAATCAGACTATTATTTACCAGGAGTCTCCAAAAGCATGAATTTAATCTAATTGTGGTATTCTGAAAGATGTATCTAGAGGCCCTTGAGTACACTTTTAATTTAACAAAAAGCCATTATTATGGTCTTTCTTAATAACTCCGAAGTATCTAAATAAATTCGGTGTCTCTTTTCTCCTCTGATATTCTCGTGTAAATCAATCTCTCTTGCTTCTTCCAACCTCATTTATTGTTTTCATTTCTCATCTGTGAACATTTTCAATTTGTCTTTGCTGTTCTGGCAAACAAATATCAAGTGCAGACTCTAAGGGGCGCTGGCTGTGCCATGCAGCCCCAGTGATGGGAGGGTAAGGAATTACCTGGAAAGACAGAGAAGACACAGCAACCGTCCGTGCACTGGTTAGGATACTCCAACTCCAGGCTCTCTCCCTGGCAATTGGCTAATACAGAGTGTCAGGGATAGGGAATGCTCAATTTTGTTGCCAGCATCAAAGGCCAAGGAGGTAACCTCAAACATTCCATGTTCTTTGAATGACCCATTAAAAAATCTGTCATCCACAACTTTCCTTACATAGTCCTGAAACTAATTTTTATTTTTAGTGAAAATTTTTTTCTTATGCAGTGAATTCTACTATTTTTTAATCTTTCACCTGGACCTCTTCCCCTGTGTGAGTTGGAGCAGCTGGCTTTACTGTGCAGATCAATACATGAGTGTCACAACTTGCTTGCTTTCTCCTGGGCATTGCTGGCAAGACTGAGGCACCAGAATTACTGCAATGCAAGTCTTTAATAGACTTTAGACTTAGGCTTTCTAATTCTTGGATAGTCTTTCCTGTTTGTCTATAGGATAATTTCAGGAATATATTTTACTTGAAGAATCTAGATAAATAAAATCTAGAAAACTCCATTGCATATGTGAGTGTGTGTGTGTGTGTGTGTGTGTGTGTGTGTGTGTGTGTGTGTGTGTGTGTGTGTTTGAACAATTACTTGAGTTCATTATAGAGGGTTCCCAAATTACTTATGGAGGAAGAGGATACACAAACTTCTTTAAGGACCCACCCTCTATTAACAGTTCTAGGGTCCTGTAAATGGGTTTTAGTACTCAAAGCATCAGTAAGCAAGCCTTCTTTGAGAGCTAGCTTCTACCCATTTCAGCTTTTTCTTCTGGCCCTATGCAAAACATTTGTAAACTAAATTGAGCTACTTATCTGGAGACCCATGCTCCTCATGTCTCTACCTGCTAAATAGAACAGCTAAAAAAAAAAAAATCTGTCTTCTCCATGAAACTCTTTTCCAGTTCCTCAGCCTTACCTAAGCCACCCCTTAAGTATGCTCTCATAAGTACTGACCTTTGCTCAAAATCTTTCTTTTGGTAGGTCTCAGAACTCATTGTAATTGCTCATTGTGTACCCATCTTCCTATGTGGACTATTAGTTCTCCCAGAACAGAAACTCCACCTTGTTCTTAGGCATAGCAGCTATGTGTGTTCTTCACCCAAAGAGTAATGGGGTGAACATTTGCCTAAAACATGAATGAATTGAAGAGCAAATGATAGAAGAGTGGTGAGAGAGCCGTTCTATAAACTAACTGTCTCATTCGTGCACACATACTCACACACTGTACAATCATACAGACACTACATATTTATTACAGACACAAGCAGAAACCACACACACACACACACACACACACACACACACACACACACACACACACACACACACGACTGTATGAGTTAGAGGCAGGCAGCAGCTCTATGAAGTTTCAGATGCAACTTCTCTGCCTCACAGAAGCATCCATTTGTAACTTTCTGTATGACTGTCTTTGATCAATTTTCTTCCTTGTCTGAAAGTCACCAAATACTTTTGTGTCGCTTTTTCTTGGTATATCAATCTTAATTTCTCACAAAAGATTTTAACTATTACCAGACCTGGACTTGGCTTTTCTGCCTGGAATGAACCGACTGCAGTCTTAATGTAGACCATATCAGAATGTTTGGAGGGAAATGTCAGTACCCCATATATGGGCTGCTCACCTTTACTGTCTAGAGCATTAAATACAAATTCCAGGAAAATAAGGTTTACCATTGATTTTCCATAACACTCCAATATGTATCATTACTTAGAAATCTGTCAGTTTTCAATTCAAGTGGCATTCTTTACAGTCAAACCAATCTCCATTAATTTTGGGAAAATCATCTAAAGAAACATGGCATTAGTTCGGTACCCTGATTTAAATCATGATGCATTGCATCTTCTACTTTTCACTTATCTTTTTATTTCAGGAGGAAAAATGCATCCATTTGTCTGGCATTGTTTTATAAATATAAACTCAAGCTGCTTATCATTCCTGTTCCAATGTCCACAAGATACTCGCTCCTCTCTCTCCTCCTAATAGTTGTTCTATGATTTTATTAGTGTCCACAATGAGACCTCATAGACAGTGACGATCACAGAATAATGGAAATTAGAGATGGAAATGACAGATTAGGTGTCTTTGTCTATTTCCTGGGGCTAATGTTCTCGTCGGTCTCAGTCTGCAGCTCAGAGCTTTGGTCTATCTTGACAAAATGACACCAGTGCTGGGACCTCTAACATTTCCCCCGAGGCTCTTGTCTGCATCCTAAGACTGTCTCTACATCCAGCCATAGGGAATAACAAAAGCTTTGCAATTACCAAGTGAAGTCAGGCCATCCTCTCACGCTATGTCTGCAAGGCTAGGAGGGATGTGGAGACTTGAGCGATTAACCACCAAATCCAATCACTACAGAGGGCTAGGCTGGATCATTTAGAGCAAACGTGAAATGATATTTCGTAGTTGTTTTCTTCAGTGGCAAGATTGCAGGCTATGAGATAGAGAGGTGGTTATCCATCACCTTTTACAACATTTTACTCAACAGGGATTGTGGTCAGCTGAGACTCTCAGCCATCACTTAAGCTAAAGGGCTGGCGCCACCACAACTGTGCAAACAGCTCAGCAGCAGTGAGAGTCAGGGAACAATGAGGAACTTAAATAGTGAATGTCATTCTGTATTCACACCTCACCTGCCGTCTATTAGCCAGTCCTCTACTCTCCTCACCAAACACTTTTCTTTAACATCTGTGGACTGCCTATCTGAGGAAAGCTCAAAGTCCATTCAGATCAAGCCGTTCTTCATTCTCACCAACACAAGAGTTTCATGGTGTTTTCACTTCCCTAACTTTTCTGACCCGTGACTCAGACTTCAGTTTCCTAACTTCCTTTACTCTTGTTCTTATCCCTCAACTTCAACCCGTTCCAGAACATTTGCCCTCTTCCATGTCTATGGGCATCTATCAAACCTTGACTAGTCATCAGCTGGCTAAGTCACCTGAGTTGAGTTCTTCTCTCCCCTTATCATAAATCACTCCCTCGGGCTCCTCAATCATTTTTATTGCTCGTCTCCAAACTATCACCCATTTGTCACCATATTTATTGCTTCGAAAGTCCAGAACTACACTGAATAGTCTAAGTTTGGTCTCATCAGAATCACGTAGAGGGGGCTGATCATGGACCCAGGAGTGAGAATCTCTGTGTCAATGTCAGAAATGACATTTTTTTTTTTTACTTTGTCAGGCTGCAAACACAGATATACTTTGCAGTCTAGGAAATCACTTACCAACAAGTTTTGCTTTGATTTCCTTCTGATTCTCCCGAGTCCATTGATTGCTATTATTAGCTAGCATTTATTGATCCTTCCCACCATTTGCCCAATGCAGGAAGCAAGCTCTCAGAATTCAAAACAAGACACAAAAATTGTTTTTAAAAGTCACAATACAAGACACACAGTGGTGATGTTTCCTTAATGATATATGATTACTTCATTTAATTGTATCATAGACTCAAAACCTATGCACATGGTAAATTTATGTTATGTATGTTTTATTACAATAAAACCATTCAAAAATGTAAGAACATAATAATAAGCAATTGATAAAGTAGCTACTTTCCCCCCAGTCACATGTAGTTGCAAGAAAATAAGTCACGAAAAGAAATGGTAACTGGGGATCTGGCACAGATACTCTTCCTCAGCACAGAGCACTTCCCTGAGTCTCGTATGTCACACCCACTGACAGTGCTGGTGGCAACATGTTTTGATGCCTGTTAGTCTCTCAAAGGACTCATCAAACTCCGAGAGAGCTACAGCAGAATCTGTGTGGTTTCACATGTCTCCAACAAAACCACCTGGGAAATTCTCATGGATGGAGGTGGAATGGAAAGGAAGAGAAAGGCAGCTTCATTTTCAGATCCCAGCTGGAGGCTGCAGGGCGGCAAGTCAGAGGCATCATCTCCTGACTCATAAATGGAGGAAAATACGGCATGGACGTCATTGGCATGACATGACTATGGAAAGGCACAGTGACATTTTTACTACAGACTACTCAGAATTCAACCACCCATGAATTCTACTCCTTTTGCACAGTTGCTCCCATCATGTCTGCATGAGAAAGCAGTAACATAGAAACTGCCAACTTGTTATCTCACTTACCCCTGGTTTGTTCCCCATTCATTCCGAATGCAAAGGTGCTTGTGGACAGGATCCTTCATGTAGCCTTCGTAGCACAGACATTCCCCTTAGGATCAGGGTAGGGGGAAAAGAGAAAGACAAGTCCATCAACTATCATGTCAGTATTTGAGAAAGTTAAGGTGAAATGATAGATTAAATCTTGACTCCATTAATAGCATAAATGATACAATATATCCCACTGTTGTTACACATGGCCCTCTTCACTGTCCTCATGAAGGCATCTCCCCATTTTCCAGTGCATGAAGATTTTACACATTGAGAGATCCTAACATCTGCAAAACACTTAGTGTGTAGGCATTGTATGCACAAAGACCATGATGACTTTGAGAAAGAGGACATTTTTATGTTCATTTTCTCAATAACATGGCAATTATTAGCAAGTGATGGGTAAATGTTTAAAGTCTGCACGTGCAAAATATTCAAGCATTTCTAAGAATCTGAAACCTAAGTATTGTTACTATATTATGCTGATAAGGGAAGCCAAAACTTGGACAAGTTATGAGAACTGTCAGTTTCTTAAAAATGACAGTTAGTACTTGAACTTATGACTCTGTCACTTGAGACACTATCATCATGCCATGCTGTAAGTCCACGGAACTGCCACAGCATTTAAGGGAGGTTGCAACCTTCTCTTCTGTTTTTTAGGAAATACATTTTCTAGTGAAAAGATCTAATTATCTTTTAAAGCCAGTAAACCAGCATCACCTACACCCTGCATTGTTCAGAATCTTCCTGCTCTTCCTCATCATTAGTTTTATGGGAGTTTGTTGTTGTTGTTAGTTTTATTTTTGCATACTTAGAGGTCCAATAACCATCTGAGATTGCATACAGGATTACCTATTTGTGGGTTTCACCCTTTCCAAGGCAGGGTTGCACAGCATTCATCCAGTTAAGACGCAAACGCAAACTTGAGACTTTCTAAAGGATTAGCACCCATTGTTCTGTTGAGCACCAATCCTGAGGACAGTAGCTGTTGCTTCCTAATGTGGCTGCCTTCATATATGATGCTACTTGGTCTCTGAGCCACTGTAACATTTTGCACTAAAACATTTGCTCTTCATCTTTCAATGGCTGGTTATTTAATTTATAACCAGTGAAATAACAAGGTGTGATTTCCTGAAATTAGTAAATAACAAATTTACAAAGGTGCCAAATCCTGAGGAGACAATACACATCCAGTTTATTTCTCTCCCAAGGGAGAGAAACTTAAGATGGTTATAAATAGAATAACAGCTTTAAATGTTATTTCCTCTTTATAAAGATAAAACTTTATAAAAATGGAGAGAATGCATCTGATAGTTAGAGGAGAAGAGTGTAAAGAGTGTGAGCAAGGCAGTTTTTGTTTAAGAATTTAGCTCATGAATTTAAAGATTTGCGTCTAGGCGATTGTCTCTCAGGGCTTCTGTACCAAATAATAGTCACTTAATCTCCATCCTAAAACACTGAACTCAATGTAATGGTGGGGGTAGTGAAATGGGTAACTTCTTAGTGTTAGATAAATCTAAGGAGTATTAGAGATCAGTACATTATTTTTTGTATGGCAAATTCGGATTTTACTATCACAAGCTATATCGGAACCTACTAATCCACTTTAGGTCCAAATTTATTACCTTCACTGGTACTGGGTTATAGCTACAAATGACCATGGAGATTTAAAGTGGAATGTCAGAAAATAGGGTTTGAAATTAAGTGGCTGGTGGTAAAATCTGCCAATGATGGCCACTTTTTGATAAAAGGAAAGATAAATAAGATTTAAAAAGCAGGTTCTAGGGTAAAGTAAAAGGAGAATAAGGCTTTAGGCCTTCAGAATTCCAAAGAAAGCACAATATAAAGTATACAGGGTAAGGATAAGGTTGATCTCCTCAAGCAGGTGGACTTTCCATAGATACTGTGGCCATTAATGACTTGTCCTGTGTTGTGACAAATAGTAGGCAAAGCAATTTGTGGGTGATTTTGGTTCATCCGTACAGTCCATCACAGTGGCAGGAAGTTTGTGTCTACAATCAAGAAGCAAAGGACAATGAATGCCGGTACTCAGCTGGCTTTATCCTTTGTATACAACCCAGGACTCTAGCCCATGGAACAGTACCTGTTATATTATTGGACAGGTTTCCTCACCTCAATTATCCCAATCTAAATAATCCCCTCTAGATATACTCAGAGGCTTGTTTCTTCCATGATTCTAGATCTTGTAAAGTTGACAATCAACATTAACTATCAAATTATGGTTTAAAGTTAAATCATTAAAATGTCTAACCTGAGAATATGGCTCAGTGGTAAAGTGTTTGGTGATTGATATATTATGCACCCTAATAAAGCTTTCCTAGGGATCAGAGAAGCAGAACAAGACATAGCCAACCTCACTTTGACAACTCCTCAGCCAATCCTGTTTCCATAAATCTTCAGACTGAAAGCTTTTGAGTCCTCACCCCTGAGGTTCCCAGTTGAACTGCTTAAAAGTCTCTTGTTCCTGGTCCTCACTCCTTATATATCTTGCTGCTTCTTGCCATCACTTTCTGATATTAAAGGCTGGTGTCCTTCCCAAGCAAAGTAATGAGATCTCAAGTCCTGGGATTAAAGGTGTGTGTCCCCACTGCCTGGCTCTGTTTCCAGTGTGGCCTTGAACTCACAGAGATCTAGATGGATCTCTGCCTCCCAAGTGATAGGATTAGAGTTGTATGTGCCACCACTTTCTGGCCTCTATGTCTAATCTCATGGCTGTTCTGTTCTTTGATCCCCAGGAAAGCTTTATTAGGGTGCACAATGTATCAACCACATTTCCTCCTTTTTGTCTAAAATTATAAAATAACGTTGTAACTAATATAAAAAACTACATACAGTAAGTACAATAAGGATATACAATATATACAGTCAAGAATTACATTCATTAATAATGTCTAGTTCATTAACATTTGACAGATTCAGACAAAAACTCCATTACTTAGCCTATTTTGGTGAGTATAAAATGTACCCAATTCACTTTCTACCCTTTTTTTTTTTTTATCTTATCAGTGTTTATTGCTCAAGTATAAGGACCTGCCCTTGAATCCTCGGCATCCTTATAAAAGTCAGCCATAGCAGTGTGTACTTGTAACCCTAGCTCTTGAGATGGAGACAGGTGAGATTAGAGAACTCTCCCAGAAGGGATAAACTCCAGATTAAGCTAGAGACCCTGTGTCAATGAAAAGAAAAAAGGTATAGACAGCAATAAAAGAAGACAGCTGAAGTGGGTCTCCAGACTCTGCATGAACACCCAGAGACATACCTGTATAGATGTGCATACACAGGATATATCATAGTACACAAAATGGAAAAAAAGAAAATTTATTGATATTAATACTCCCAAATACAAAGATATCTAAGCCAAATAATGAGTTAAATGCTCAAAAATATCTTTTCCTGTGGGAAATATACTCTTCTGATTGTCCTTGTTACCAATTAGACATGAATAGGATGCTAAGAAACAGGATGTAATCATAGGAGAGTGTCAAGCACAGCATTCTGATTCCTAGAGTGGTCTCAACTTGAGCTGGGGCTGTAGCTCATTGGTAGAGTACTTGCTCAGCATGCACAAGACCTCGTGTTCCGTCCCTGGCACCACACAAACTCGACATGGTAGAGAATGCCTGTAATCCCAGCACTGCAAAAGTAGAAACAGAAGGATCAAAAGCTCAAGATCCATCCTCAGCTACAGAGTGACTTTAAGGCCAGCCTAGGCTATCTGAGACTCTGACTCAAAAACAAAAAACACAAAACAAGAATAGCCTCAGCTGGATAGCTTGTCTAGGACTAAGGATTAACAATTAAAGAGTAGCTTCTTCTACATGTGATATCTGGTTACCACAAAACATGTAAAAATAAATTCAGTAACAACTCTGAGTTCAAGCAGAGACCTATTTTCCTAATGACGTAAATACCTACCATTTGTACAATGCATTTACCTTCTCAAATTGCCTTCCTGGTCATTATCTCCACATGAAGCTTCCATCACTTATTACCATGTGGGGACACACTGCTGGCAACAGATAAAGCTTTTCCCCATATAATGGCATATGCCACCCAAAGTCAGAGAATCGGGAATTTTCAAACATGCCAGGCTAGAGTTTGGGGATATCCAAAATCTGCCTCTCAACAGATCCTCATTTCTGGAATCCACCAAACTTCCCTCTTCTTTATTCCCCCTCAAACCAGTTTGGCCATCTATGCTGTAAGGAGTTCAGATTTGATGAGGAAAGTTACTATGGAAACCAACTGCTAAATCTTGACTTTAAGAGGGGTTTCGTGTAAGCACAGACTCCGACTGTTAGCTGTGAATTTTAAAGACCCCACAAGGGTGTTGGATGCCCTCCTAAGCCGAAGTGTTACAGTCTCCGCATCTGCTGTGACAGATGGCAGAGAACACATGAGGCGCTGACTCTGTGGTGGTGTACATAGGAATCCAACAGAAAGACATGTCATGGCCACGGAGAAGTGCCCAGCCTGGAAAGTGTAACATGTCACAGTTGCTGCAGGAGCTATTCTGTGGATCACACTGTTAGGGAAGAAAGCCCACGGCAAGATGTTGGTGCAAGGGATAGCGACCTCCATACCTACTTGTGCTTGGTACCTTGAGGATAAGTCACCTTTCATAGTGAATAGACAGAACATTTGCTCACTTCCCATTCTACAGTCACAAATCTCATCTAAGGATTAAGAAAGACCTTGAAGCTAGGGTTCCTTGGGTTCGACTGGGCTCACCAAAAGTTTGTTTCATTGTAAAACCTGAGTCATCACACTGCTTCAAGTAGTGGTTGGCTTTTATTAAAGAGGACTGGCTGTCCCTTGTCTAAAAAGAGAAATGTTTGTCTGGATGTGGATAACACCAAACTGTCTAATAATTCCCTACCAGTGGGAGTTAGCAGAAAAGAGGCAGGCCCAGGTTGAATGATCCCCATGAAACTCTGAAGGAGAAGCCAGGGAACATGCTAAAGTTCACCCCGAAGGAAGAAGGCTTTAATGGAATTACAGAAGTGAATTGGGAGTGAGTATGCAATCTAGGTTACAGCAACAAAACAGGGACTGAGCTCTCCTGATTAGCTGGGTTAAAAAAATGCCCAATGACAGAGACAGAGAGATGGAGTGCAGAGAGAGAGGCATGCAATGGCTCAGAGCAAGCAAAGAGGTTGAGGTTGAAGTGTCTAGAAACCTGGTCCATGCCCCTCAGCAGGTTGATACATTTTGACCTGCTTGTGTTGGCCATAGAAACATCTGGGAAAATAGGGTTTGGGGAAGAACATACTAGATAGATATTAAAACATTCAAGTTTGAGTTTTCATGGAAGCCTGTGGTCGTTGCAGACAAAAAAAAAAAAAAGCTGCATAGCTTGAAAAAGTCAATGGAGGCTGTGGCCAGAATTGATGTGGCTGAGAAATGAGAAATGAAGCAGGTGTCTAAGGGCTCTGCTGCTGCTCATATGGCAGAACAGAGGCTTGGAATGAGTAGAGAGAAAAGTCTGTGCAACTAGGTAGTCTGCCACCAGAAACAAATGAAAACAAGCAACCACAAAGCGTTCCCCTTAGAAATCACAGGGAAAGTCAGCCTATGGCAGGATCCAGTAGACACTAAGCTACACAGCCTTAATGCTTTGTGATTATCCCAACTCAACCAGAGATGATCCTGAGTGGCCAGTCTGGCAGCGTAGACAAGAAGATTGGCAGTTGGCAAGAGGCCTCATCAGAAACTGAGGCTTTCAACAGCCACCCATGAGGAAAGAGAATAATCCTAAGCTTACCATCTAGGTTTCCTTCCGGAAAGGCAACAGGAGGAGAAACATCACAAAATGACCAGACATATGAATTTTGGTATATCATGCATCCTGAGCTTACAGTCCAGCTGGACTATTAACTAGCCTGTGGTTAAGCCAGTTTGTCAACATCTCTCTGAAGTGGAAATAAAAATACTGTCTACTTTGTAGGGCTGTGAGGGAGCTTTGATTGTCTAAGCTCAGTGATAATAACATGATGAGCTCTTGATAAACACTACCCAGCATGATGTTTTGCCAAAATTTTCCACCTGTCATTACAAAGCAGTGGGGAGATCGACCACAGTCTGTTGGGCAAAGTCATCAGCAGTCTGAACTTAAAACCATCCTAAATCTTCCCATAGCCGGGTACTAGGACTGACTCCTCACAAGTTGATACCTGCTAGAAGACGATCACAGTGCTCGGCAGAGACTGCAAGTGGCAATACAAATGTCTTGTCTCTCCTTTCTCAAGCATACCCACGCATAACCAGAAGGTCTGAGGAGTTCAGATGATTATAAGAACATTTACTGGTGACAATTTAATATTGCCCAGGCTGGTCTCTGAACTACACTCCTCATAGGTAACATGATGTCCAAATGTAAGCAGAGGGGAAGACTGGAACTGAAATAAACCAACAAGTTTCCTATAGCCCTGGTTCCTTTATAGGACCTCATACATCTTTTGGAGTCCTGAGATTATGATGGTGGCATAGGAAGAGGGAATACAATACATTTCTCTCCTTTAGCTCTTTGGTCCTTTGGTGTATTTGTAGCCAATCTCAAACTCAAGTGTCTAAAGCAATATCAATTCATTGTGTCATGCCTTTATAGGCCAGAGGAGACCAATATGGATTCTATGGGGCTAGGATCAAAGTGCCTACAGAGTAAGTCTCTACAGAGCTATGCTCCTTTCTAGAGGCTATAAGTGAGAATCTGCTTCCTTACTTTCCCCCCTGTTGAAGGCTGCCTGCTCGCCTGGTTCATGACTGGTCCTTCATCTTCAAAGTATACAATACCATGATGAATCATGCTTTCATCGTGGTACTTTGACCTGTTCTCCCTTCAACATTTGAGAAGTATTGTCATTGAATTTGGGCCATCCAGATAATCTAGGAGAATCTTACTTTTGTAACAATAGTTGTTAGGCAACCTCAATTCTAGACACCATTTCACTTTCTTTTACCATGCAACATCACACATCTATAGACTGTGGAACAGAGGATGTGGGCATCTGGTGGAGTGAGTCCATGTTTCTGTCTCTTACACCTGGTATTGTGGAGTCCTGTGCAGATGATGTGTAAATACACACATAGCTTTGGGACACTTTTAGGAAGGCTGCCTAAGGAGTGCTCCAGGCACCAAAGGCTGCTCCTTCTCAGTGCCTGAGCATCTGTGTTTGTGTGCTTGTGTGTTTATGGGTACGTGTGTCTGCGTGAAAAAATACACAAGTGCATTTGCACAGCCCTATGAATCCATATGGGCAGACCCCTCAGCTCGACTGGGAAAGCACATGTCCCAACACTCTGACATTTCCAAGTAAGCTAGCTGGAGGATTGCAAAAAATAACGTCGACTTGACTTGAAGCCAATTCCCACACTCAGCTCTTTGGAGAAAGACTCTAGGATGGAGTGTGGGAGGCGATAAAGTTTCTTAGTGATGAGCGTGTGGGATGACCACATCATCCATGTGCAGAGAGAAGCAGCACGGGAGGGGGGGTTTCCAATTCCAGCATTAATGAAAATGAAAGGCTCCACAGCATCATTTCTCAGCTGCCACACCAAATGAAGATGTACCTTAGTTCTGTTGCAGGGCTTGGGTTCTTATTTTTGGTATCCCTTGTGACATTCTAGTTGGAAATTCATTAGTTATCATAGATACCAGGAAACCATTTGCAGGGGAGGGGCTTCCCAAAGTCATTTGCAGGAAGGATTAGAAATTAGACATCTGGAAGGGACTGAATAGTAGACAAGAAGACTTTTGTAGAGACAACCAGCTTCTTGGCACACTCAACAGGAATGCTCAGTACAGATTGCCTCCTAAAGAGTTGAGTGACAAATGTGTTGGATTGGGCATACCTGGACAAATCATGTTACCTTTGACAACCTTATTTCTGCTCTGATTTCATGATAGGTTAAAGACAAACTCTCTTTATAGGTATCTATGGAACTTTGGTTAAAACAGGCCCAGATAATCAAACATTAAGTAAAGTAATAAGGCAGCTCATGTCTAACCCTCCCAAGTGTAGAACACCTAGTCCTCTCCTTTCCATGTGTAATTGTAAGCCCTTTATTTTCTTTCAAGACAAAGAGGAAGCATGTAAGATCCTCTGGAGATCTTGTCGCTCTCAGAAGTGAGGTTAACAGCTAAGATTGTCCCAAATCCTCCTAATCCTAACCAGCTGGAGAACGAGGATATCAAAGACCAGCTCTGCTACATGGAGAGTTCCCACCTCGGAGATGAGCCCTTTTTAATTTCTTCCAAGCACACTAGCTTTTGGGCATGGTGCAGAGCCCATCTGTTTGGTTTGGTGTTTGCCTGACAGCGTAGGAGGGGCAGCAAGTAAGCACCGTCTTAGACATCAGATGTTGAAAGTGCTGTACTTTCTCCTCCATATGGGGACCTAGAATCTCTGTCACGGGCCCACGTAAAATAAGTTTAAAACCTAAGAACATGAACTTTAGACGCCACAGTTACCTGCTACTTTCTTAAAGAGATTTAATACTGAAGTATAACAAAATGCGCATTGTATATCACAAAGCCACGTCTGTAAAAAGGCCTTGCTGGAGACCCCGCCTCTCTCTTTGGAGTTACACATGATGGACAAAGATCTTGAGGGTTTGGTTCACAACTCCTTCCTTTATTCTATAGTACTACTCAGCTTCTCTGGGAAGATTCCACCCGTGTACTCTAGCTCCTGAAAATGGTCTTTGTGTAGAGGTTACTGTATATGACCCTCTTGTTATGACTTGAATGTGAAATGTTGTCTATAGGCTTATGTGTTTGAATACTTGGTCCCCAGCTGGTGGAAGGCTGTGGAAACTTTTGGACATGAGGTTTAGCTGGCAGGTATAAGGTCATAGGAGTAGAGGTAAGGTTTAAAGGTTCCAGGCTAGCTCTACTTTCAGCTAGAGCCCTCTGGTTCCTGGTCATAAATACATAATAAGCCATGCCAACACTTTCCACCATCATAGGTAAAACCCCATATACCATGCCTTCCCTGTCATGATGGACTGTGTTTCCTTTAACCATGAGCCAAAATAGATCCTTTCTCTAAGTTGTTTCTGTTAGATAGTCTGCCATGATAACAAGAAAAGTAAACACTTTTCCTGCCACCAAAATATAAACTTATTTGGCATAGAAACCCATGCTTCTGAGCACTCAGTGCTCTAGGGGTAAGGCAGCAGCCCCGCTTCACACCACCTGGATCTGGGCCTTACTTGGAGCTACCTTTGTCTTGCTTGATGGAGTAACACACTTAAACATGTCTACATCCTTTGTGCAGTGATCCATCTCTAAGATTCGGAAGAAAAATAAATTCCCATGTGCCCTACATTTCTTTGTGGAGAGGTTTGTTTTAATAGTAGCTATAAAAATAAAAAATTTAGAGCTTTCTAAATTCAAAGTAATGAGACTGTTTAAATGAGCTATGATACAGATGTACAATGCAACAGCAAATGACCATTAAAATGTTACTGAGGATTATGCGTATGGAAAATTCTTATGATAGAATATTAAGGAAACAAATTCAGGAAAACTCAACTAGACTTCCTATGCTTCCAGGAAATCTTTTTAAAAAATATGCATAGACTAGCAATGGAAAGAAAGGACATAAAAAGTTTTGGAGTGATTTATCTAGGAGACAGAAATATGGATGATTATCATTTTCCTCTATACTATTTTTTATAATAAACATGAATTAATTTTGCAATTATAAAATGGCTAGCCCCAGTAGCTAGATAATGACAAAATGGGCTATGGAGGTTATTCCAAACCGGCCTTTCCAGAGTAAGGCTGCAATTAAGATCTTGTCCAGGCTCCTGCCAGACTATTGCATATTTTTATGCTCAGTGGCTCAACCACATGGTGATATCCATAGGTGGTCTATGCTTGAAAAGGAAAGTGGACAATGAAATTGGGAGAAATGATATGAATTTCAAGGGAGTGATTGCAAAAGGCATGCTCTCTCTGACAGTTACCCGCTTCCCGGTGCTCCTGCCTACCAGTTTCGGGGTCACATTGGTGTTCACAAGGGTCCAGGAGCCGCCGGGCACAGAGGTCCATGGCCCAGGGCCCACTGGAGTTCTGCTGAGAGAAGAGAATCACTTGGGCAGGGTTCAGCCAGTCACTGGCATCCAGCTGGCTCCCCTCCAAAAGGATGAAGCGGCTACCTACAGGGTGACAGAGAAGAAACATGTCTGCGGATGCACATACAATACACGAGCACAAGTCACCAGAGACAGAGCACACCCTAATCCAGGATCATTACACTCCACAGTCCTAGCCGACCATTAATACTAGTGCAAGGCATCGGCAGATGGAGATTCTGCGATCACAATGACTGCTGTGAGGCCAGGAACATTAAACCTCCCAGCTATATCATCCTCTACTGCCCTGCCATATTCCATATTGCTGGGGTGTTCCTAAGGGAGAGAGGGACAGAATAGCTCTGTGGTGATCATGGCATGGCTCCATCAGACCTAGCCACAAGGCATTGGCACTGGCTCAGGTAACAGGGACCCACTCACTGCTTGTCTTTGCTTGCCATGAAATAGCAGGTCCCCTAATGCTGTGAACATTCCCCACCTGTTTCCAGCCTTGCAGCTACCCAGAGAACAGACATTACAAGTCAATTAGGTGCTGTAGGCTTAAATGATTCATGGGCTCTCGGTACTTTTGGTACTCCCTCATTATATTGGGGTTCTCCTGGATAAAAGTAAAGTATTGCTTTTGAGGTCTAGGTTTATGGCAAATTAACACAGTTAGCAATCTCTCACCTGGGCAAACCATGGCTGATCCTTAAACACCTCTACTGTCCCGTTTAGCTTTTCCTTCCTCAAATACTAAAGGACCAAGATGTCCGCCCACCTATAGCCTGTGTGCTTTGCATTTTTTATTTACAAACAGAGAATGGTCATAGAGAAATGGAGATAATCCATCCAGTTTATTATTAGCTCAATTTCTTAGATCATCTGTGGACAATCTAACTGTAACCTCTTTCCTACTTTTTTGGGCACATCTCTCCTCCCCACGATAGTGACCCTTGCCTTTTCTGTTTTTTGCCCAGCCTGAAAACTGCCTATCACTGAAGAAGCAGCCACATTCTTGGCAGAATGAGCTCACCATCAGCGATCAGGTGCTCAGGGACGTGTAGGGTGATTTTGACGACGAGAGGGCAGCTGACATGAGAGGAGCACACGAGGCCAATCACGCAGCTGGTGATGCTGATCAGGGTCAAGGTGGTCTTATTCACAGGACTTCGGGGCGAGCCCACTGAAATCAAGGCAAAGACAAGACACAGTGGTGAAAATCCAGGCACTGACTGTCTGACTTGGCCTTCTGCTGGCAAACAAGGGAGGTGTCTGACAGACCTAACCCATGGGGATCAGAAAACATCTCTACTATGCGACCTCAGGAAGCCTCCCTGGGGACATCACCTGTTGAAGTAGAAGTGAACTTGGCCAGCTGGGGACCCTCAAGGGCAGTAGTGGTGAGCTGAGTGCAGATTCTCTAAGGTTTGACTGGGTCACGTTCACAAGAGGTCACAAAGGGGACACCTCTCCCTCTCCTTCCCTAGCTGAGTTCCAAACTCTTGGAGGCAAAATTGTTGAATCCCCATCATGCAGTCCCATTACTGTTGGCAGAGGGCGCTCTAAGGCCATGCTCCCACAATGTAAACCCAGGCTTTCAGGAGGAGCTTCCCCTACTAAAAGAGCTTGCACTTGTCCTATGGGTGAGCAGATGAGGCTGTCACACCAGAATCCTCCCCTCAGTTCAGACACCTTGGGAAGGAATGGTAAAGGAAGAGCTTGCTTTGCTCATTTGGAGGGCTGAATTTCCTGTTGCTTTTGGATGAAGTGGTGGTAAGCAGAGGGATCTTTCACATGGAGGCGGGATACATGTGGGAGGGTAAGAAAGCAAGGCAAAAAAACGTATAGGTCTTCTGGAATTTTATTTATGTTAATATTTATTATTAATAGTAATGTAAGTCCAGTTACGGGAGGAAACTGTGCTAAGCATCTCTGTACATTATTTCCTTTTAAATACTTGTCTGTTCATAATACACCTGTGAGCCTGCAGAGTGACTATCGACTTTGCAGAAGAGGGAAATAAGTCTCAAAGAGATGACCCTAATTGTGACAGCTAACACTTACAAAATGGTCATTATGTGTCAGGCATCTGTGCTCAGAGTTCTACATGGCTCATATCATTGAATAACAATCGAGGCATCATGAAGTAGCTGTTATAAAAGGCTGCAGAGTACGTCCAGGACCAACCCTCTATAAAGGATAGAGCTTTGGGAACTACTGCTCTCAGGAAACACAGTGATGAGTTCGGGGCCCATGACCACCCACCTATCAGTGTGTGGGGTCTCCCGAGGGACTGTAGGGAGGGTTGTTAGGAGGACGAGATGCAGAGGCTGCCAGTTGCCTCTGGTTCTTGCAAGTAGGAGAGGTACTATTCACACTGGTCCATTTCCTCACACTTAGAAATCAACCCAGCCCAGCCTCTGTAGCAGATCCCCCAACAGAACACCTTCTGGCACTAAAATACCACATAAGCCAAACTACAGCTGTCACCTTTCTCAAAACCCAGCTTTCCGTCCTATTTCCATTATCCAGGATATAGTTCTGTCATTGGACAGTTTCTCAATTCAAACAACTCCATTATGTCCAGCTCTCTCCCGGCTTGTTCACAAGACACACTTTCTTACCACCAAGGACTTTAATTATGTGGGCTTGTTTTTTTGTTTGTTTCTTTGTTTTCATTTTGTTTAAAATTTCACCTCCATTCTCTCATCTTACATTAGGACTCTGGGAATACCAGTCTCGCCCTCACAGACACACCCCTTGGCTCTCAGCTAGCATCTCTACTGCCTCAAGAGGAGGCCTCCACATAGCACAACTGAGGAGCTAACACAATAGAGCTAAGACCTATCTAGTCACAACCGTGTACTTCCTGGATTCTGCTGATCTTTTAGCTTTCTTTCCTATATAACCCACAAACATGCACCGTAGACTTTTCTGTAGTAAACGATTTTTCAGCTTTCTCACGAGACCATTGCTTCCACGCCAGTGACTTTGCACATATTATCTCCTCCCTCGCAGAAGGCCATTTTGTCACCTTGTCATCCTGGTCCACACCTACTCTTCAAGATTCAGCTCAAACAATAGCTTCTGGAAAATACTTCCTGAAACCTTCAAGAACAGATTCTCACTCCCCCTTGTTCCTCTAGCCCTCACTGCACCCTGCTGCTACAGCTCTTATCACACAATGTCATCACTGTTTGCAGGCACTTGCCACTGCTCTCCTGGGATTGCAATAACTCGAAACTGATATTTTTTTGTCCCTTTCCTCTGTGTGCATCATCAACCCACAATCTAGCATCCCTGCCTGCCTTCAAATTTTCCAGTGGTTTCCTGTTTATTTACAGAAGCAAGTGCAATTGCAACAGCATGGCAAGTTTGTGCCTTGGTAGTTAGCTTATTCTCTGGCTTCATCCCTCCTGTCCCTGTGTATTTATGTTTATATCCTGACTAGAGCTGCCATCTCCCTCACTTCCTTGACAACCACATTTCTTGGAGTCCTCAGAGCTTTTTATGTACTCCATTCCTCTACTGAAATGTTCTTACCCAAGACTTCTTTTTCAAGGCATTCTATACATTGCCTATACTTCAGTTCTAATTCTTCTTTATTGCCTCCTACTGCTGCCATGTAGAATTAAGTATTATCGCTTCTGAGTACTTGTTTTATTTATTTATATTATTAGATGGAACCTTATCATTGTGCCATGTTTTCATGTTCCCACTACCTATCATGGAGGCTGACCCCTTGGAGGTAGGTTGTAAGATGTTTTTGCTGATCTGATTGATGTATCCAGTCCAATTAAGCAGACACTTACACACATACATGATAGCCAAAATCCTTTAGTAGGCACTTTGAAAAAATAATTAGGAATGCTCCACCCCTGAGCCATTTACAGTTTAGTTAATAGCAGTAGACAGCTGACGCATTTCAGGGGCTTGTAATTTAAAGAAACAAATAATTTTATGCTGTAAAGCAACTAACTCACTAACAGAGGTTTTCTCAAATAAGACTTTATTAAAACAAGACACAACCTGCTTTGGTACAACCTAGATTGTGTATCTGTTTTACAAAATGTTTTGAGGATCAAGGGAGAGGGAGATACTGTCATCTCCACATTCTCACTTGAGGAAAAATGAAACATTTACATTTAGACAATTAAGAGCTCCACTGGCTCTTCAGAAAAAAAAAAAAAAAAAAAGCAATGGCAAGAAAAATTCAAATGCTAAAGACCGGGAAGCCTACAGACACTGGAATACAGAATGACACAGTTGTCCCATTCATATGCCCTCCACAGTATCTCAAGGGGTGTCTGCTCAACATATTCCAAGATGGGGTTCTGTAAAAACTGCAGACTACAATGGGAAAGATCTGAAAGTAGCAATGGTGATTATACTTTATCAGTTGCCAAAACAAATAAAGGACGTAATCCTCACAGAAGCCTTATTATGAGTTATTAGTAAGTCATTTAACATGCATGGGAACCAATGCTCAGAGGAGGAACTCTGTCCTTACGCAGCACCACACAGTGAGTCGATGCTGGAGGTCATTGGTGTTTGGCTGGAGAGCTCCCTCAGAGGTAATGGCAACACCAGGAAAATCGTGGACAGTGGTGCCTACAGCACCAGGATCTGAAGTCACTAAGGATGAGCCTGCAGCAGTACATACACAGGCTGCACGAAGCACAGCTGTGTCAATTCGAAGAACAGATCAGTTTCTTAAACCGTGCCAGGAGAAATGAGTCTGGAGGCTCAGATCTCAAGACTTAAAGGCCAAAGAAAACTACGTATTCTCAACTCCTAGATAACTTACCAGCTACGCCCTCGTATCCCAGCCTACTTCAACCCCAAGACCAATGCAGCTGAGTTGATGAGGAGTATATATATTATTCATTTAACCAACTTCATCCACTTCATTTGGCTGAATAGCAAAGTATGACTGCTGAGTCTTCCAGAAGGGAATTGAGAGTCTTCTGACCAAGAAACAGCCTTTCAAACAACTTGGAAACTTGTTTGAGAGTGCCATTATCTGGGAGAGATGATTCTCGCTCTCACTGAACTCTAGGCTCTTCTTTCTTCCTGGGAGGAAGCAACAGCTGCGGTCCAAGCATTCTTCCTGGTGAAGCTGACTCCAGTGCACAGAGCCCTCTGTGCCCCCACCTTCCCCACCGACACCACGCTTACACTCCTTCCTATCATTCCTACCTCGACTGCGCCTCCGGCTCCGAGAGGGGTCAGTGTAAAAGGTCAGCTGTGGGTCATTTTCTGCCTCAGTGCCAGAGTCCCCTTCAGGGTTCAAGAAGGCGGAACCAGCTGAAATGAATAAAGAATCAGAGTAGACATTTTCAGTTGACCTGATATGGAATCATAGGGTGAGGCCTAATTGGAAAATCAATAAAAATAAGAGTGGCTGATGGGCAGTCTGGGAGAGGTAGCTGAGGGGCCAGGGCTTTTCTAGGTTTGTTGGAGAAGCAAACATTTATGAGAGCACTTGATAGCACTCTGTCCCCCATATAGAAAATGACTCCATGATGAGGGACTTGTCTGATGTCTGCTTGTCAGAGAGGTCAGCAGAAGTCAGGTGTGGAGAAGAAAACAAGGGAAATGTTCCGTTCAGGTCAATAGGAGGCCAGAATTACATCAGAGCAGGAAAGACATTATATTTCTGAGTTTTTACTGATTCCAGAATATATACATATATACAAAAAGAATAAATAAGGTAGATAGCCATATGTGCGGGGACATGTCCTTCAAGCCCTCTAAAACATAGACAAATTCTTCGATCATTTGATGTATATGCCCTCTGTCCTTTTCTGATACTGAAACAGGTAAACGGTTTTTAATCTCCCTTTAAAATGAAATTGTGCCATACCTTCATTATAACCTCATTTTCCCCACCGAATAGACGGGCAGGCAACCTTCCATATTAACAAATAAAGATCTATACGATCGTTTTAAATGACTGCATGCTAAGTCACTGGACATTAAGCAGATGTGTCAGATAGTTAACCAATTCCCTGTCGGTAGGCATCTAAACCATTTCCAATTTTTTAGCTTGTTTAAATGTGGTAAACAGCCATTTATACACATCTTTGCACACTTGTTCAATTAGTTCCTAGGAACTATTCATGTCCATGAAGGTACTTAATCACTCTTAAATTTGGGGGTGAATAGCTTTTATCTGGCCTCCAGAAGACTATGCGTTTGTAGCTTTGTATGACAGCATGTGTAGTTGGTTTAATGACCCTGCCTCTACCCACATTCTGGAACCCATCTTCGAGACTTAGAACTAGACATGGCTACCTCTTGCTTTGTTGCTGATCCTCTTTCTCTGGCTACTGGAGGTGTGGGAGAGCAGAGTGGCTTGCTGGTGGTTGGAATCCACGGGGCTCGTGGCTATGATATTATCTTTATACTTGTTCATCAGGGACAGCTTGGCATTGTCACTTCCTATATAAGGAAAAGTCGAGACAAAAGGGAAAAAAAAGAACACTTAAGAGAACAGACGAAGGAAAGTGAGAAAATCTACATGAGCTGAGTAGATGGGTCCAGGGCATTGAAATGAGGAACATATAAAGTGAAAAGCTGGTGGAAACTATGACACTCCTCTCTGCTTTCTAGGGGCTACAAAGTTACGGGAGGAGTGAGGTAAGAGGATTACAATTGAAAATCCAATTTAGCTAATTCCGCATTGATAATGTCACTGCTTACCAGCCTTTGGCTAAATGCAGAATGCAGGTTTTTTTCCTTCTGGCCAGCACAGGATTTTAGCAGAAATAGAATCTATGTGCTTCAGACAGAAGGTGGCCTCTCTTTCATGACAGCCTTCACCATTGCCTGTTGACTGAACCCTAGCTCCTGCACTCATTTGTGTGATCTGTCTGCTCCCTAAAAGGAGTTTGGGTTTGAACCCCGAAGTTCCCTACATCTATTCCATGGCCTTGGTACTATGACCAGCACTATGGGGAATATGATACATGTTGGAGAATCCTCCTTCCTATTCTCAGACTTCAAAGTTCTCAGACCTTGAGGTTCTCAGACTTGAAATCGTATTAGGAAATGATTACTGATAAAAGTCGTCTTCTAGATGCCAAATAGAATTTCCATTTCCCGCTGTGTGATTTTAACCTTTGCAGCCTCACCCAAAGTCTGTGCATCTTTAGCAGTATGCAGTATCAAATGTGTCTTCCTCAAAGAGGAAGGTACTGGGCAGTGCCTTGAAGGATGACTGTTGAGGCGCTCCCTTTCAAGATGTACTTATTCATATCAGTTTGAAAAGAGAGAGAGGTGGGCTATGATAAAAGAGCAGCTCCTCCCTCTCTGCATGTTTGTGACCCTGATCCTGTTCTGCTGGATTGGAGCCAAGGCTCTTCTATCCACTGTCTCTATAGATATGTCTAGCATCTAAGAGCTGATGCTTTGATTACATTCTTCCACTTTCTTTGAAAAAAAATGCATCCTGTGTAGAGACCACAGAAGCAGGGGCAAGGAGATGTAATTAGAAGATACAAGGCCCACACCTTAGGAGGCAGAGAGAAAAACAAAACAAAACAAAAATCCAACCGAACAAAAAATGGGTAGCTGAGGACCCTCCATGTCACTAAAGAACTGAGCTGCCTGTGCAAATACGTGACACACAAAGAAGTCAAGCTAGGTTGGTTTCCCAAGCCACAACCTCACTTCCTAGGGGGCTGCCTGGCATACACTAAAAGGTTCAACTCCACTTCTACTACATGCAAAGGCATTTCTCTGCTCCCAGTGCTGGGTGGAAGTGGAAAGGGAGTCAACTTACACTAATACTGTGCTTCTTATTCTTTGGATTAGAAAACCAGTTATCTCAGAAAACAGGTTGCTGTTTTTGTCAAGTCTGAGAATCTCATAAACGTATATAATGTATTTTGATCAAACCCACCCCTCATGTCCCATTCTTACTCCCCCTATATCCTCTCACACACTTAATGTCATCTTAATGTCCTCTTCATAGAGATTTTTTTTTAATATCCGACTAAGTCCAGTTGGTGCTTGCCTGTATTACATGGGTGTAGGACTGTCCACTGGAACATAGCAACCTACCAGGGCTCACACTCATGAAGAAAACTGACTCTTCTTCTCCCAGGAGCCATTAACTGCTAATAGCTCCTCAGTTGGGATGGAGTCCACGAAAAAGGTTATTTTTGCCCACCTGAGGAAAGGCATCAATACATTTTGCTACACAACAGCTGTTGGCTAGCTACAATTTGGCCTATCTGAGCAAGGACTAAATGTGCCCATCCCTTCTCCCATTCTTACCTGGTGTGAGGTCCATCCCAGACTTCTCATTGCAGCCCTGTAGGGAGTCCAAGGTGCGGGTGACCTGACTGGCAAAGTCCTCCCCTCCATTCATACACTCTCTCTGCAGGTGGTGACGTAGGTCTGTGATGTCATACTCATAGCCATCCAGGATGGGCGTCTCCCGGATGCTCAGGGTGCCACTGGAGTTGTGGCCCTGCACACGGGCATTGCGCAAGCTTTCTCGCCCATGGCCGCCAATCAGCACAGATGGAATATAGTGAATCTCATTGGCTGCCTCTGCACTGGCACTCTTCTGGGGTTGGGGGACCCGGCGACGTTTGCACCAGCGCCTGCGAGTGTACAGGATCATCACCAGGCACAAGATGGATAGCAACAGAGCAATCATGCCACCCTGGAAAGACAGGACATCAGGTATTTGCACAAAGAAAGATAAGTGCTCTACAGTGTCATTGCTTCATCTGCTAACGCCATTCATCACTCATTCATTAATTCATGCAACCCAATGTGCTGAGCACTTGTAGTAAGCATCACTCAGCAACCAAGGGACACTCTGTTGACACTGGTGTTCAACAAGGGAGAGAAATGAAACTATGTGCGCTTAGTGCATCATTTCAAGGAATCTAGTTGCTTCTGGCTTAGCAAATATTTGAGACAGAGGCTAGGGAAGATTGTGATTTGGGGTTTTCAGTTGCAGAAGTGGGGAAAAGGGTTTGCTTTTTAAGGTAAATGAGCTACACATAAGGCTGATTTGGGGCTTTCTTTTTAGTGGCCAGCCTGGGGTGGCATCAAGTTTCATCTCATATCAAAACAATCAATCTTAGATGGATCCTAACACTGGATCTATGAATCAATGAGTCCTATCAACTCTAAAACTCAGATTTCTTGTCTGTACAAAGGAGAAGTCGCCACTAAACTGCTCATGGTGGTTGCTAAGAATTAGGCTAAGTCATGATGTTAATGTGTGCAGCACAAATACAGCACACACCATCAAGATTCTGCTCAGAGTGTCCTTAACTGTCTCCACCAGAATAACTGGCCCATCAGGGAAAACCATTGACACATTTACATCCATCAGAGTGGAGCACCAACTGTGGGAAGAAATCCCACTGTTTAGCACATGTCTTGGGTGGCAGGAACAGTTTTGTTTTGCTTTCATGGAGGAAAGGGCTGATACCATATCCTAGAGTGAGGCTGGTGGAGGAGTTTCCTGATGAACTTTCAAAATTCCAGAGGTCACTACCTCAGAGGCCAGTCCTTACAAGTCAGGACAGCACTAGCTGTCTGCTGGAGATGAGCATACAGTGCTCAGTGTGGTTGAACAAGCTTGTGATCGCGACAAGGCCACACTAGGGTTTGGAGAGGTGAAGGGAGTCTGCCATGCTCTCTCCTCTACAGCACTCCGCAGGCATAAACCTTTGGGTGCCCAGTCAAGCTCATCCCTTTATTTTGGTTAACAGCTCTTCAAATCTACTTCATTAGGCCAAGGTGTGCCAAAAGGCTCCCCTCCTGACTTTAGCTCTAGTCACTGCCAACCTACTGTATATGATAGAGCTAAAAAGTCCCTATCGTTTCCCACTGGGCCCACCCACATGAAGATGGCTCAAGAACATTCTCCCAAACAAATTAAAAGCTCCCCCTTCTTCCAGTTTCACAATGATGACGTTCTGGATTTATGAATACAGTCTCCCAGTAAATCTTCTTGGCTATCCTACATTTCCCTCCTTCTGAATACATATATGCATATAAGCATACATATGAACACACTACGACCATGTTCAAACAGGCCACATGAGGAGGTAGAGAAACATGCCGTAGAGTCAGCTGCTAAGTGACACACCAAGACATGAGGCTTTCTGGGGACACAACTTTCTGCTTTGCAAATTTTTTCTTACTTTATCTTGAGAATACATTCTTCTGGTGCAATCTCTCCTGCAAATACCGAGAGAGTAAACACGTTCTGGTTGTGCAGGGTAGAAGTTCAAGTATTCTAGGTCCTTCTAACTGCTACCTGCTCTGTAGTCCATACTAAGGAATCTCAGACACAGTAGAACCATGCCTGGAGGACACTGCACTCAACTATATAGAACCAAGTCCTGAAGTAATCCACAGACAATAAGCATCTGTGTATGAACCAGTAGCTTTCAGCAGAGCCGTCAATCATATTCATGGCACAATCAGATGGGCTATCCTTTCTCTCACCCCAAACTGAAGCTGTAACAATAGGTAATTAAGCCACACAGAAGGAATAACTTCCCGACCGAGAGAAGTTGTCAGACATTGAATTAGGCCACTGAAAGCCAGAGGTAATTTTATTCCCTAAAGAGCCATAAGAGCGACATAAACATCAATCCCCGAGGAATGGTTTAAACACCATCTTTCTCGCTCACACAGGGTTCCTTCGGAGCCCCTCCACCCTTCCTCACTAATTATGCATACAGATGGTCACAACAGGGTTACAGTAAAATCCAGCCCATAGATTCATTGCCCATATCACACAAAAATAAAACAATAGCAGCTGTTCATTAATGGGTGTTTGCTATGTGTCAGACAGTTGTTCAAAATACTCTACAGTTTTAACTCTAAGAGGCAGAGTTTCCCCACTGTTGTTTGAAAAAAATGAGGCATAGAAGTCAAATAATTTGTTCAAGGTCACACGTGTTATTAGAAGGATTGGGATAGAGCCCCAGTGACTAATTCAGAGCCTATGTTTTTTGTATGTGGGAGCAGGGTGTATGAATGGTGGGCATGCATGTGCGGAGGCCATTAGTCAATGTTGGGTGTCTTCCTTTATTGGTAGTCACCTTATTTTTGAGATAGGATCTGTCACTGGACCTGAAGCTCCTGTTTCTGCTAGACTGGCCAGCTAACCCCCAGGATGCACCTGTCTCTGCCCTGTCCTGTGCTGGGTTGGGTTACAGAATTTCACCGTAGAGAACCACAGTGCCTGAATTTTATGTGGGTGCTGGGGATGAACTCAGGTTTTCATGCTCGTGCAGCAAGCTCTTTCTTTATCTACTGTGGTATCCATAGAGTCCATCTTCCCAGACTGCAGCCTCAGAGTTTACAGACCATTATTCTTTAGTCATCATGAGCTTGCCCATAGACACTCAAGCTCTCTCTGACTCCTCACAAATCCAAAGGATAGAATGGGATCATGCGGGTACCTAGATCCATCCTTACTTCACAAATTGAAAAAAAGAAACTAGCCAGCGTCTACATCTAGCTGGCCAGAGGTCAGATGAACATTGTCACAAAGGACTGTTTCCCAAGAAACTACTAAGAACCCAGATCCAAGATTAGTTGGTAGAAACACAAATAAACAACAAACTCTCAGCTCTCTCACATTTTATTTTCTCCATGTTTAAATAACATTATTCATAGTATGTATCACTACATGCCAGCAAGATGCTATTAGATCGTCAAATTTAGCTGAATTTTAACAAAGAAATAAATGTTGTCTTTCCACTTAGCGACCCACTGAAAATCTCTAGGTCTGATCCCTTCATCTGATGAGAAAGCCAACGTCCAGAGAATCAAAACATTGAAGGAGCTGAGGGGGTGATGCCAGATCCTCTCAATAGTTTTCTCATGAGGCCATTTTTTAGGTTCATGTACAATTAACTGACCATATACTAGAGCGCAGACATTCAACCAAAGATGTCTTGTGTTTGTTTCTCTAAAACATATAACATGTAGAACGCTAGAAAACAAGGTTTTAATCTGTCTAAACCTGTCTATGTAGTATCTCTAATCTTGCTTCAGTAGAATGTCTCCTCTGCGGAGAGACAGTGACTACTGGTGACCTCAGCTCTCTAGTAACCAGTTGCCAGTAATAAGCTCCAGCCACCAGGGGCAGTTTGCCCCAAGTATAGGGGAGAGGATTCTCAGACCTCAAGTTCTTCTATATGGATTCTTTGCTCCCATGATTCAAATTGGTGACAAATGTCACAACACTTTGCTGTGACTTATCAATTAATTGTGGATGATTATGTAAACAATAATATGCAAGATGTAGTGTTATGCAATATTTATATGCAATTGTTACCTAATAATGAGATTTTGTGATAATAATAAGCTCACTATGTATAAATTCCTCTGAAGTACATAGGTACTTTATTCTATGGTCAGTTGCTAAGTAGAAGTGTAAAGCCCCTTCATAATAAAAAAGACTTATTGTTATATTAGAATAAGGCATATGTCTAGAAAGCTAAATAAACTGTCATTCTACAGTGAGAACTTGAAAGTCCACTGGCATATTCAGTTACAATTATATTCTCATACAAGCCCAGTTCATTGGAATATCTATTATTTTTAGCTCTCCTACCTTCATAGAAAAGTTTACACCTGAAAGTCACAGATGTCTTAGGATATTTCTTTCAAAGACTCTAAAAGAGGTGGCATATGAAAATGGCCCAGATCTTAGGTCAAGGGCATCTGGGGACTTCCTGCTGACCAAGTGAGGAAGAAAGGCAGGAAGAAGGTTATTATCTTCCTGCAAACAAAAGTTTATTGTGAGGAACAAACACCCTCTGGCATCTGAGTCCAGACAGACTCCTGCCTCCAGTCTGGGCAAGAACACACTGTTCAACCTGGCTGATTCAGGGCAAGTGCAGGAGTTGTTGGCAAACTTTGTGTTCTGGACTGCATCGCTCTGGTCACAGTGTGTTTGTCTTAGCTCCAGGTTTTATGGCATTGAAAACCCAAAACAAAACTTTAAGATACATCTATATTCAGGTGATGAGCAACAAGTTGCAAAATGTGAACATTAAAAATAAGTAACAACCAACTTCATGGTATAGCATTATTTTGCTCTTATTCATCTTTGCATGAGTTTTCTGACTATTTTATTGATTTTTCTCAAAATGGTTAACATTTTGTAAATACAATTGTACTGGAACTATATGAAGACTCCACAACTATTCACAAATCCCTTGCAAAAAAGTGGCATTTTAAAACACATTTTTCTTTTAAAAATCAATAAATCATTTCTACTGGCTTTAATAGAGATCAAACAAATGAAAACAACCTTTATTTTATAATGAAATTGACATATATGGTACTCACCTGAGAAACATGAAGTTTGTCAGATAATTTGTATAGTTTATAATTTTTATAACAGTGTTTTCTGTAACATTGATGGTAATTACCCAGGGTCAGAAAAATTTTTGTCAGCTCTCCGTTTTGAGTTCGTCCTAACCACATGCTTTAACCAGAAGCCTCCCCTGCCCCCCGGGTTCTCACCCTAGGTCTTGCGTCATGCCTCCCAACTTAGCTGATTCTTCAAAGTCGGTTCAGCATCTTGGCTTCCATGGAATCCTTCCAAGCCTCAATGTTCTGTACATAGACCTTTCCACACTAACCACAAGTACTTTTGACTTTAACTGGCTTTTC